CAATCAAACAGTCGTGTGTGAGAATCTCTTCTGTCCGTTGCACCTTTCCTAAGCTCTCCCGAGAAGCAGTGACACATTTTGGATGTCACACTCAAGCCAGTGGCTTAAGACACATTCAGGACAGTTACTATCAAGTAACTGCTCCCATTCAGGACACCTGGAGTCTCTCAGGACAAGTCACAGCCTGAAAAACCATGTTTTACTCAATTTGGAGTAACTTAGGGCAGGGTACAAGCTGCTCTCAACAATGTAGGAGAAAGAGAAGCTTTGAAAAAAGTCAATTATCTTATTTGATTGATTTGCTTTATTTGTTTGCATAGTAATGGCAGAATAGGATTAAGGGCATGGGCTATTTTTCCTCAAGTTCTAAACTTGTTCAGTTACATACTATCTCATAAAGTTACCTAGTGTACCAATTCATGTTCCAATAAATATTGAATATACACTAAATACATATCCTTCTTTTCTCCTGGAACATTGAGCCAAATAGATAAGCCTTTGTGTACCACAAATACTGATGTCAATCTTAAACTTCGCTGTCTCTCATCTTTGAACCTCAGTGTCATTAGAAGCAAAAATGCCTGAATTCTTTATGTGTCTTGTATATCCATTTATATTAAAATTGATTTTTTTTCACCCCATAGTGAAATGATAATTAACTTTAAATATAAGGTTAGAACTTCCATTATAACAAACTGATAGCAACTGCTATAAACAATTTCCAGTGGTATTGATTATATTCCAGGTCTCCTCCAAAGCTGGTAATAACTTTGTTCTTCTTCCTCAGGAGATAAAGTCTTAATGCTCCTTCTCCCGGAGTGCAGAGAGTGTGTATTTTGCCTGCACCCTAAGGGCAACATCTGTAAGAAAGAAAAGTTAGTTTTAATTTCTCTCACATTTTACATCATTGATTTTCCCTGGTACATTGACTCAAGGCTAATGTCCTCTGTTCCTCTTTTTTGTCACTCTGTATCTGGGGGACAGTGTTCTCTCTCCAACTGGATTAATGTTGGATGGAACCAGCCGATTTACCTGCAGAGGGAGGAAGATTTATCATCTGTATGGCACTAGCACATTCACAGAATATACCATGGTGCATGAAATAGCAGTGGCTAAAATTGATGCTGGTGCTCCTATGGATAAAGTCTGTGTCCTGAGCTGCGAGGTGCCAACAGGCTTTGGAGCTGTGTTTAACACAGCACAGGTAAGAATGTATTTTGTCTACATGGTAAACCTGGAGCCATGCAGTCAGATAAAACAAAAGGGCTTTTTCTCCCACCCTTTCCTATTAACACAAGAACATCACCTTTGGGTTTGCAGGTCACCCCCAGTTCTACCTGTGTAGTTCTTGGATTGGGAGGAATTGGCTCAGCTATTGTTATGGCCTGCAAAGCCTCTGGTGCTTCTAGAATCATTGGGGTTGACATTAATGAAGAGAAGTTTCCCCGGGTAAGAACCTTAGGAGTCACTGATTTGCCTCAACCCACAGAAGCTCACGAAGCCGGTCCACGAGGTGGTGATGGAAATGACGGAAATTGGAGTTGACTTTTCCTTTGAGGCCATTGGACTCATTGAAACCATGGTATGTGCCTTGGGGCAATCTTATACCATGTGCGTACACATTAAATTAACATTATAAAGACATGAAATGACTGTAGTTTGGTTTTTGTTTTGATTTGTTAGGGAGGACCGGAGTTGTTATTGTTGTTTGAACCAAGAATTTCTTGCATTCTAAGCCCATACTCTACTCCAGCCTTGAAGAAGCTTTATAATTGTTTGTTTTGAGACAAGGTGTCACTGTATAGCCCTGGTTGGCCTGAAACTTGCTTTTTAAACAGGCTGGCCTTGAACTCACAGAGATTGTGCCACCAAACCCAGCTAAGTTCTATAATATTTAAACTAGCATTGTGAAGCGTGTCTATGTGCCTTGAACTCTTCTGAGCTATTAACATATTTTATCCCACTTAGTTTATGTATCCATCTTACTAGCTAACAAATAACACTATCCTCATTTTAAAGGTTGAAAATATGAATCAATAATGAATTTAAGCAGATTGCTCAAGATATCATAGCAAGCATACTCCATGTTTGATCTTGTATTATCTCTCCCACATAGCTGCCCTGAAAATGCACTTTAGCACTAAGTCTAAACATGTAGAGTTTCTGAGAAACTAATCAGTGTGTTTCTGCAATTAGGTCACAGCTTTGAAGTCATGCCATGTGAGTTATGGAGTGTGTGTAATTATGGGAGTAGCGCCCACAGATGCACAGCTCTCCTTTGACCCGGTGGTGCTTCTCCCAGGGAGAACCCTGAAGGCTTCCATTATGGGAGGTATGTCTTTGGCTCTCCTTTTGCCATTTCCAGAAACCTAAATATCCTACATACTCCTTGGACAGAAATACAGGGGTAAGATAGGAAAGTTAATTCTGTATGAAAGGAAATAGAAGATAGTGTACCAAATAGAAAGGTAGGCCAGGTGTGGTGGCTCATGGCTGGAATCCCAGCCTTCAGGAGCTGAAGAAGAAAGATTGCCACAATTCAAGACAGCCTGGACTCCACAGGAAGTTCCGGGTCAGTGTGGATAAGACCTTATCCCCATTTTTTAAAAA